GACTGCGGCTGGATTTCAGTGAAAGTAGACTCGCTGGATCTACCCTACTCTCTCACTCTCTGACCACTCCTACACCTGAGCCCTAAGAAAAGTAGAGAAAACCGGAGGTGGGGGGAAGGCGCAGGCGGTGTGCGCAAAACACACCCCATCACGCGCCTCAGACCACCTCAGAATGCACAACTCCCACTGGTCTTTCCCCTTCGCTTCCTATGCGGGACTGAGTGTGAAAATTGCAGTGCTCTGAACACATCCATGGCTTAGACTCCTACATGTATACTTACCTGCCGTGACAAGACCTTCTGTTAAAGAATTTCAGGTATTACGCCAACCAAGCGGCTGCCGTTGATCGTTGAGTGCTCCCTTTGGTTTGCTGCTACACAGTAACTCCAAAGGGTAGAATGGTGCCAACAAAACTGGCATCAGGGTTGTTGAAAAATGCTGAATACGTACACAAGAAAAGCCGTAGAAACACAATGTATGAAGAGCGCTGCAATCCATGAGCATATGAAATGATAAAACAAAACAAGCCTACTAAAACGAAATAAGTAGTTAGTTGTGAATAGTAAACTACGCTGTGGTGATGTTTATGAGGAACCCTTACCGACGTCAACTTAGTACCGAACTCCCGTCAAGCTCCGTCATTTACATAGTTTGCGTTGGGAATGCAGGGCACAGTTGTGCCTCCAGCCTCACTTGGGTAAAACCGGTACATAGGCAAAAAGTTTCTGTGGTGTGCGTAGGTCGTGTTTGACTGAAATTACAAGCGGGTTAAAAAGTGGGTATTCTACCACATTCAGCCTGGACTTTTGGTAGTGGCTAAAGCTAAAAATTGGTTATTTCGAATGTTCATAAACAATAATGCAAGACTTTCGAAACCAGATGACAGTCCACCAGCACTTAGCAGTATGCACGCCAAATCTGGCCGTTACTTATTCTGAATGGACTTCAAATGAAATGAGATGGAAGTAATCTTGCCTAATGCTGTCTAATTGAGTTAATCTGAATACTACAGCAACGGCGTTTCTGTCTGTCGGCACCTGTGATATATGTTTGCAGAGAGTCGGGGCCTTCTATCAAGATAGTAGACTTTTATTTTGCCTGGATTACGTTGTAACTTAAGGCGTATATGGACTGCTTTTTAATGCAATCGAAATTGCCATTGTTTTGTCTTTTTGTAGGTGACTTATCAGGGCAAAAAGGTGTGGTTGGTACGCGTCCGAAATCCATGGGGTAACAATTATGAGTGGAAGGGTGCATGGGCCGACAATTCTAGAGAATGGGCCGGTGTGTCGGAGGCGGACAAAAAGCGCCTGGATGTCACCTTTACGTCAGACGGTGAATTTTGGTACGTCTCGTGATGTCTCAGCTTAAGGAGAGTCAATCAGGCGACATTTATTATGATAAGCACTTCTAACTTTCTAGGACAAATGAAAGATTTATTTATGTACGAATGAAAGCTGATCCATACAGCGCAAGCATTGGTTCCTTCCTCTCTCTCTTTTAATATTCTCAGCAGATAGCGTCTGTGATTTTGATAATGCCATTCCCTCTTTTGAAGTCTATGCTAGAAATGCATGTACTAGAAATCAGGTAAGATAGATTATGTGTTGCAACAGTTTTTATTGGAAGAAAAAGGGAAACAAGAGGCTCTGCACACAGTTGCCGTAAGCTGGTTCTTCAGGCGAGTGTCTGTCGGCCGTTGAAATCCTTAGACTCCAGTGCGTGTAAGCCTTTGTTTTTTCGCCTCCAGTCAATCAGTGAATGACGTACACTGATTGGCTGGTGCCAAGAGGTGGGCGGCTCCAGCAACGAATCGATAAGGAGCGTGAGGCGGACCGGAAGGGTGGAACATGCACTGTGACAAGCAAGCAAGCTAAAGTCGTTTGGGCGGTCACCTCTGAATGCGATA